CCCCGTCCTCAACCGCCGAGCCCCTCCCCCACCCCGGGGCAGGAAGTGAAACCGCTGCCCCTCCCCCCTCCCCCCGGAAAGTCCCGCCTGGGTCTGACTCAAACCGGGACCCGCGGGGGGAGGGGCGGGGGTCCTGCACCCCCAGACTCACGGCGAGCCGCCGCCCCCCGCCCGCGACCCCCGCCCGGGGCTGCGCGGAGCGTGCTGTCGCGATAAGGGCGCGCCTCTGTCAGAATAACCGGGAATCACGATACACAGGGAGGAGGCGCAATAGCGAGGGATTCGTTATCAGCCCGGGGGGATCGCGATATCCGTGCGGCTGTCGCGATAGCGGGGGGAGTCGGAATAACGGGGAAGAGGAGGCACAATAAAGGACGGGGGTCGCGATAATGGGGAGGGTCAGAATAACGGAAGCGAGCGTCGCGATACCGAGGGGGGTGCTCGAAGTTTGATGTGTCGCGATAATCGCGGGACGCAGAACAGGAAGGGTTTGGATTCGAGGGGCGCAGCAAGGGAAGCGCTCGCAGTAACGGCAGCGCGGGGACCGCGGTAACGGAGCGGGCCGGAGCACGGCGGGGCACCGCAGCGGGCGGAGGATGTCGCGATAATGAGGGAAGGGTCGCAATAACAAGCGCCCCCCTTCCCTCCCCCCTCCAAAACCGCCGCTCCCGCCACCGAGGGGAGAAGTTTGGGGAAGCCCGTGGTGGGAAAGGGGGGCTGCCGGAGCCCTGTCCCTTTCTGGGGTAACGGGGGAGTTCCGGGGGTCCCCCGAGGGACCCTGCCGGGGTTCATTGGGGTCCCCGGAATTGGGGGTGTCTGGGTTAAATGGGGGTCCCGGGGCGCTTTGCTTGAGAGGTCCTTTCTGGGGTTCCCGGCGGGCTGGTTTGGGGGTTCCTGAGCTGTTCTCCCATGTGGCAGCTGCTGGAGGGGTTCGCCCTGGAGGGTCCCGAGTTTGGGGGGGGGGCTCATGGGGATCCCTGGATTGTCGGGTGCTCTTGTGGGGACCCCTCGGGGGTCGGGGATCAGGGTGGGGTCCCTGGCGGGAGTCACGGGAGTGCCGGGACACCTGGGTCCATTTATGGTCATGGAGTGGGAGTTACGAGTCCCGGTTTGCCCGGCGGGGGCCCTGCCGGGGGCTGTGGCCCCCCCAAACCCAGGACACTCGGGGGGCCCAGGCTTTGCTTTTGGTGCTCCCTGGGTGGGGGTCTTTGAGCTGTCCCCGCCCTGCAGGCCGCGATCGGGGTGGGGCGGGGGGGCTCTGGCGGTCCCCAGCCAGCTGTGCCCCATCACGGGTGGGCTCGGGGGGTCTGACCCGTGTCCCCCCGCAGCCAGCGGAGGTGGCGGCGCTGGTGGGCCCCGAGCGGGGCCCGCTGCTGGTGCAGGGGCTGACGCTGGGGGGGCTGCGCTGCTCCGTCATCCGCGACTCGCTGCTGGTGGAGGGCGAGCACAGCATGGACCTGCGCACCAAGGGGGCCGCGGGAGCGCCCACCTTCAACATCACGGCTGCCATCACCAACAAGAGTGAGGGACCGCCGGGGGCTGCCCCCCGCCACCCCTGCCCCCTGCCCTCCGTGACACCCCAGCTTTGAAATCAGCGGCGAGGAGCCTCCCCCTGGAACCACCCTGTGACCCCTGCCCACCTCCCTGTCACCCCCTGCCCAGTCCCTGTCACCCCGTGTCACTCTGTGTCACCTCCTGCCCAGTTCCTGTCACCCCCCGTGACCCCAAGCCTCCACAGGTGCCTCCCATGTAGCTTATGGCATTGCAGTGTCACTCCCCAGGTGCCCCCCCCCTTCCCCAGTGCCACCCTGTGTCCTCAGCCACGTCACCTGCCCTGTCACCTGTGTCACCCCTGACCTGCTTCCCGTTAGTGTCCCCAGGTCCCCACAAATTACCCCCTGCTAACTCCTGGCATCCCTTCATCCCCTTCCCTGCTTCCTGCCCTTGTGCCCCCCTTGACCCCCTGTCTGTCTGGGGCTTTTGGGGGGCTTGGGGATGACCCCCCCACCTTGTTGTCTCCCCCCTGCAGCCATCGTGCTGGCCATGGGCAAGGAGGGCGTCCACGGCGGCTGCGTCAACAAGAAATGTTATGAGATGGCCAATCACCTGCGGCGCAGCCAGTACTGAGCGGGCTGGGGGCCACCCCCGGACCCCCAGGGACCAGCAGAAGCCGCCAGGGACCAGCAGGACCCCGTCCCCCACCCCCCTGCCCGCCCCCAATCCCCGCTGCCGGCAGCAATAAAGTGCCCTTGTGGGGAAGTCGCTGCGTTTCGGGGTGCTGGGGTGCGGCTCTGTCCTCCGCCCAGGGTGGAGGCCACCCCGGATAGCCGGGTCCAAGGGTGCTGCCGTGCCCCGGGGGGGACAAAGTCCACGCTGGGGCGGGGGTGACGCCTCAGCACACGCCCCACGCTGCCCCCCCCCCACCCCTCCCAACGCTCAGGAGGCAAGGTTGGGGGGCAGAGGCTTTATTGGGGGGCTGCACTGGCAGGGGGGAAGGTCAGCTGGGATGGAACGAGGGGAATCGGGGGCAGGAACTCTGGATGTTCGGGCAGGTTGTGGGGACTGGGAGGTGCTGGGATGGTTGATACGGGGTGAAGAAGGGCAGAGATGGGGATGTGGGAGGTGCTGTGGGGTGCAGCAGGAGATGTGCAGCAGGACGGGCTGCAGGAAGCTGCTCCGGTGCTGCCGAGTCCTTATAAGGACAACGTGGTGGCTCTGGCGCTTCCTGTCCCCCCCTCACCCCCCGTGTGACTCACGGAAGGGGGGAAGGGCCCGCGTTTGCCCCACGGCAGGAATTGGGGTACCGGGGCTTGGGCCGTGGGGCGGGTGGCACCGTCCTTCCCCCTGTCCCCTCACCCAGCACGGATGGACCCAGGCGTTGGGGTCCCCACGTGGCTGTGTCCCTGTGGGTGACCCCCACATCCTGCAGGACAGCGTCCTTGTCCCCCCTCCGTGTCCAGGTGTGACACCTGTAGCACGCTGCCACCTGTGTCATCCCTGCCACCGCGTGCTCTCTGCTGTCCCCAACACCTCAGGGGTACCCCCAAACTGGGGAGGGGGTGGGTGCAGCACCTCACCAGTGACTCCCAGTTAGACCCAGCACTAGAGGTCAGCGGGATGTGCCAGTTTGAGTAGGGGGGCTCCGAGTGACCCTGCTGCTGACTGATGCACGCAAGATTGCCCCTGGTAGAGCCAGACATCCTTCACTGCCACCCAGTGACCCCAAAGTGCCCCTCAGTGACCCCAAAGGGCCTCCCAGTGACCCCAGAGTGCTTCCCAGTGACCTCCAAGTGCCCCTCAGTGACCCCAAAGGGCCTCCAAGTGCTCCCCAGTGACCCCAAAGTGCTTCCCAGTGACCCCAAAGTGCTTCCCAGTGACCCCAAAGTGCTTCCCAGTGACCCCAAAGTGCCCCTCAGTGACCCCAAAGGGCCTCCAAGTGCTCCCCAGTGACCCCAAAGTGCTTCCCAGTGACCTCAAAGTGCTTCCCAGTGACCCCAAAGTGCTTCCCAGTGACCTCAAAGTGCTTCCCAGTGACCCCAAAGTGCCCCTCAGTGACCCCAAAGGGCCTCCAAGTGCTCCCCAGTGACCCCAAAGTGCTTCCCAGTGACCTCAAAGTGCTTCCCAGTGACCCCAAAGTGCCTCCCAGTG